GACACATTGACGTCTTATAAAACTCCTGGGATACATACACACACATAGATTTTTTTTTTTTTTGCAAAATCATATAAACACAATAATAATCGTAAATAAAGTAGAGAAAATACCGTGAAATTGACGAAAAGTTAACAAGCAAAATTATTCTACAAACTGAATCGACTGAATGGATGGATGGATGAATGAATGAGTGACTGGATGAATGTTGTTATTACAGTGTATTAATGTAAAGTACACTTGTTTAACATGTATATGTAAACCCTGCAGTTGCGAAGTGGCTGTCCCCAACTAGTGATTTTACTTAGTTACTAGGTGAAGACATATTTATCTCAGACTACATTCACTTGGGGATACTAGATTGACGATATTCCTTATTTCCACAGAATAGTATATGCTATAGACCAGACTATAGTTAAGACTATGGAGTTGACTATAATTCCGAGAAAAAAGACTAGATTAGACTATAGTCCAAACTATAGATTATACTATAGTCCAGACTATAGAATATACTATAGCCCAGACTATAGATTAGATTATAGTCCAGATTATACATTAGACTAGACTATAGACCAGACAATAGTCCAGACTATAGATGAGACTATAGTCCACACTATAGTCCAAACTACAGATCAGACTATAGTCCACACTATTGATTAGACTATGGTCCAGACTATAGGTTTGACTATAGTCCAGTTTAAATACTATGCTATACTACACTATAGAACAGAGTATAGCCCAAACTATAGATTTTACTATATACCAGACTATTATTAGAGTATAGCCCAGACTTAGATTATTTATTATAGACTAGACTATAAACTAGACAATAGTCCAGACTATAGTTGAGACTATAGTTCAGACTATTGATTAGACTATGATCCAGATTTGATTATAGTCTAGTGTAAATACTATACTACAGTCCCTACTATAGAATAGACTATAGTCCAGACCATACATTAAACTATAGTCCAGACTAAAGACTAGACTATAGCCCAGACTATAGATTAGACTAATGTAAAGACTATAGATTAGACTATAGTCCAGACTATGGACTAGACTATAGTTCAGACTATAGACCGGATTATAGTCGAGACTATTACTTCAAAAATATATAAATTGGAGTTAACCCGTACATAAGTAGTTCAAGTTTTAGGAACAATTCTATCTAAAAGTCACTGACACCTGATAAAACTACAGGGTAATCTCATACATCTGTATGTAGGAATGTGTGTTTGTTTTAGTACAAATATGAATGAATGCATGTAAGCGTGTGTCAGTATATGTAAGTATCTGTGTTCACTATTAACAAATAAGCCAAAGAGGCTTTGTAACTGAATGTTTTTGTTTATTTCCAAACAATACAATAAGAACATTAACAACAACGTTGACTGCGATCACTGAGAAGGTTGCAGCAGCCCCCGGGAGGTTTTCTATCAATGTATCGTTTTTATACTTTTGGGGTTTTTACTCTTTGTAATATTAAGATCAATTCTATAGTTACTTTACTACCTCTAAGTAAACTAAAAAGGAGACATACAGCAACTTAGAAATTAGTTACTTAACCCACCACAAGTAAACTATTACAGAGTGAATAATCCAAATTAAGAGTTAGAGTATAAATTTTCTCCTCAGATAATTAGTCATATGGCCACATACAATAACCAATGGTAAAATAATTTGCTGAATTCACAATCGAGTGTTATGTTGTAAGTACTAAACAATAACAACGCCTAAAAAGCTACTACAATGACTACTGTGAATTTAACCACTATTTCGATACAGACAGCCCGAACTGCATGGCCTTAATAACTACATCAGCCAAAAACTGTATAAAAATTTTACGAATTACATTTATTTCGCAAGCCGACATTTTATTTATTTTTTTTTTTTTTTTTTCTTGAATCTTACCCACCTTTTGTTTTTCTTCAATGTTTTTTGTTTCAATGGGGAATAGCTGTTATAATAAATGACTAGAGTAATCTATCAAAAGTTAACTTTGTACAAAAAACTGAATTAAAATATACGCATAAATAACTACAACGGCAAAAGCGAACGGAATTAGTATTCGAAATGTTATGTATAATGTTGACGAGTAAGTAAAATAGGGTGTTTTTGAGGATATTTTTGGAATTGAACTTTTTTTCAAAAATTTAAATTTTATCACTAAATTTAGAGAAATTTTCTGCATAAAGAGAGAAATTTATTGCAAATTTTATATAAATAAAATCAACATTTTCTGGACTAGATTATAGTCTAAAGTATAATCCATATCAAAGACTATACACAAACCAAGTCTACAGACTAGACTATAGTCTGGTATAGTAGTAGTTTATAGTGCAAACTATAAACTTGACTATAACCTAAGCTATAGAATTCACTATAGTCTAGACTACAGTATAAGTATAGTAAAACCACAGTACAGTCCAGATTTCCCCTAATTTTTTATTATAAACTTGGATAAAGTCCAGATTATAGAATTGTATATAATACACATTATAGACCTATCCAGGGTTAATACTATATTTTATATCATATTCTAGAGAATACATTAAACTACTCGACTATATGAAAGACTATAGACTTTACTATACTTCATATTATTTATATACAGATTATAGACCTGACTTTAGTCCACATAATAGATTGCATACTATAGCTCCAACACTTTGGGCTCTAGCATTCCAAAACAACATTTTATAAAATCTCTTACCCAAACCTTTAGTACACTTTTAATAGCTTTAAAAATTCACTCACAACATCCTCCTACACATCTATAAATATAAATATTTTTTAAAACTCATAAAGGATTTTAATTTTCGGGCAAAATATACACCAAATAAAAAAATATACATATTCATCAGCAATGTCAAGAGCGTAATGCCCTTTTGACAAACATGACGATTTTACAGATTAATTGAGGATTAAATGTGTGAACATTTTAACTAGTACCACTCAGCAGTGTTGTTACAATTCTTATTAATTATTTTGCTGTAGGTGATTTATATACAGTTAAACCCTTTTATAACGAACTCCGAGGGACCAGTGAAATTGGTAATAGAAAGGGTGAAGTTTTTGTAGTTCCAAAAATAAAGTGGTATTTTACGAAATTAAAAGAATATGAATTATAAATTTATTTAATATTCTTTACACAAAAACACCATTACTTTTATTTGCTTATATATTTCTTAACAAATTTAAGTTTTTTTCCAACAAAGTAGTTCGATATAAAAAAAGAAAATTGTATGAAATTGTATTTGAGGCACTGAAAAAACAGTTCGTTTTATCGTTATAACCGAGTTCGTTATAAGCGGGTTTGATATATTTTTGTGAAAATATTTTATTAGACTATAGACTAGTCTATAGTCTAGTCTATAGTCTAGTCTATAGTCTAGTCTATAGTCTAGTCTATAGTCTAGTCTATAGTCTAGTCTATAGTCTAGTCTATAGTCTAGTCTATAGTCTAGTCTATAGTCTAGCCTATAGTCTAGTCTATAGTCTAGTCTATAGTCTAGTCTATAGTCTAGTCTATAGTCTAGTCTATAGTCTAGTCTATAGTCTAGTCTATAGTCTAGTCTATAGTCTAGTCTATAGTCTAGTCTATAGTCTAGTCTATAGTATATATAAAAGATAATAGTCCAGACTATAAACAAAGCTATAGACTAGATTATAGTCTAGACTATAGACTAGACTATAGACTAGACTATAGAACAGATTGTAGATAGGACTTTAGTCCAGACTGTAGACAAGACTAATGTCCGGAATATAGTGAAACCATATACAACACTATAGTCCAGACTATATAAAAGATAATAGTCCAGACTATAAACAAAGCTATAGACTAGATTATAGTCTAGACAATAGACAAAACTACAGTCCAGACTATAGACACGACTGTAATCCAGACTATAGAGAAAATTATTGTCCAGACCATAGACAAGAATATAGTCCAGACTACAGATTAGACTTTAGTCCAAACTATAAACATGACTATATAGTCCAGACTATGAACTAGACAAAAATAGATAGCATTAGCTAGGCTATAGACTACTATACACTATCCTATAATCTCAACCATAGACTAGACTATAGTCCAGACTGTAGACAAGACTATTATCCTGACTATGGATAAGATTATAGTCCAGACTATAGACACGACAGTAGTCCAGACTATAGATATGGCTATAGTCCAGACTACAGATAAGACTTTAGTCCAAACTATAGACATGACTATATAGTCCAGACCATGGACTAGACAATAATACATAATATTGATTAGGCTATAGACTACTATATACTAGTCTATAGTCTAAACTATTGGCTAGAACATAGTCCAGAGTATAGACATTTAGTCCAGACTATAGACAAGACTATAGTTCAGAATATAAAAAGACTAGAATATAGTTCAGACTATGACTATATAGTCCAGACTATAGACTAGACTATAGTCCATAATATAGACCAGGAGTCTACTATACGCTAGACTAAAGTCTAAACTAGAGAGATAAACTATAGTCCAGACACAAGACTATTATCCAGACTATGGACAGAATTATAGTCCAGGCTATTGACAAGACTATTGTTCAGAATATAACAAGACTACATTATAGACTAGAATAAAGTCCAGACTATGGATTAGAGTATTGTCCAGACTATAGTCCTGATATTGTCCAGACTACAGCCCTCACTTTAGACTACAAATTATACTACATTATACTACCAATGTATTAAATCCGAATGTCATTTATGTAAACTGTCAAGACTTTAAATGGGTTTGTCCAGTGGACTATGAAAAATAGGTGCATTTTAGACCTATCTTTTATATAAAATCGTTATTGAGAAAAAATTTCAATCGCCTGCATTTTAAACAATTTCTCTTACTTACTTCGTTGTAATTTAAAAGCAATAACTTACCCTAAAAATGAACATAAATCGCCTTTTCACGGATTACATAGAAAAACTAGAATTTAAGCCGGAAAAAATTGAAAAAAAAAATCCTTAAAAGCAGAAAAATAAAACAAATATTTTATATTTAAATATTCACTATACATACATTTCAGATTTATATATATATATTGTTTTTTCTTTTTTTGCGTAACACTGTGTTTTAATATTTTTAGATTTTTTCTTTATTACCAAAATATTCTGAAATAAAAAAACGGGTTTAGGAGACAGCATTAGGGTTATCAACGAAGGGTAACGTTATGTAGTGTAGGTCGGCTTTAAGTATGCTGGCTTTTAGAATAGTTTTATAGGTAGAAGGAGATCGTATGTAATAGAATCGGTTCCAGTAGCATACACATACACAAATATGGTTTAAAAATAAAAACAACTAAAAATTATTACACAATTTTGAGGGGAGCGGAGGGGGGTAGGAAAGAGACCAACAGGGCAAATATAAAAACACATACGACTTATGTGTTGGTAGAGGAGGACTGGTCATCAGAAGTCATCATATTTGTTATTGATGTTGAGGATGATGTTGATGATGCATTTGCCGTTAAATTCTGTGACTGATTATGGTTGTCCGGGGTGATGTTTGGTAACGTTGTTGCAGAAGTAATAGTAGATTGTTCAACACTACTAATTTCCATATTCAGACTTCTTGTTATTTGACTACTATGGTTGCTAGAGCTAATGTTGCTACTGCTGATGCTGCCACAGCTGCTATTTGTATGATTAACTCCATCTATGGTGTTAGCAGCTGCGACAGCGTTAACGTTCCGCAATAATGTTGCTGTTGCTGCTGGCTGTGTTCTTTCTACTTCTGCTGCTGCTGCTACTGTTGTTGTTGATGATAATGCTGTGGCTGTTGGTTTGTTTATTGTTTCTTCATCAATCATTTCTGGTTTCATATCAATTTGTATTGTTTCTTTTTCTATAGTCGTTGAATTTGTTGATTCTACTCCTTCTGCTGGCCGCATATTGTGGTCAATGGCTTTTACTACTGCTAACCCCTCTACTCCACCTTCGTCTTCGGCAATTTTTGCATTATTCGTTGCATTTGCCGTATTTTCTTTGATATTTTCATCATTACTTGCAATTGTCTTTTCTTTTTCCAGACAATTTAAATCTTTGTCCATAAATTTTCTGCTACATGTTGTTGTATGTAGTTGTTGTTGTTGCTCATTTTCAGCTTTAATATTTAATACCTGCTCCTGCTGCTCCTTCAGCTTATTTACAATGTCTTTATCATTGTCTTTAAGTTTGTTAGTATTATTATGTGTATTAACAAAATTCGTTTCAACACCATTATTTTTTAAAGTTTCCATGGTTTTTAAGGGCCAATTAACACCCACTAGATTATCATTATGTTTGCCTACAGCAGCTGGCTCCTGCTCCTGTGAGTCAAGAGCAGCCTGTTTATACTTCATAGTATCATTATGAATTGTTTGTTGTTGTTGTTGTTGCTGCGGCTCCTGTTGAATACCCTTGTTATTTTCCGTTTGAGTGTTTTCAAGTGTTTCCGTTTCTTTAACAGTCAGTGCTACTGCTGCTTCTTCTTTTTGTGTTATTGTTGTTGTAGCGGAAGTTGGATTTTGATACTCATCCCTCTGATTTGTTTCGACATCTTGTAGACATTCACATAAAATCGCACACAGAAACACAATTACAAACACACGCACACAAATACACGACAACAACGACGACGACCAACAACAACAAAAATGTTAAGAATATTTATTACAACGACAACAATAGAAGAAACACACAGCAACAAGTTCAAATAGAAAATCCAACATTTATTCAAGTAGCAGAACAAATGAAAGCACAGTGTAACGTTGGGTGCAAGTACAAGTTGTTGAAGTTGCAAAAAAAAAAAAAAACAAAAAAAAATAAAGAGGGAAGAAAAAGAACATACAATCATTAATAATCCAAGTTTATATAACAGATTGATGCTTATTGCTAAAGCAACAGGAAATAATAACAAGAGCAACAACAACCAAAAAATTATAATAACAAAACAACAACAAAATTTACAAGAAACAAATCAACAAGTATGAAATTAAACGCGGTCAAAGTCGACTTTATGATACCCAAAAAAAGGCAAACGTTATTTCCATTCATATTTAGACCTTTCATTAAAACTGAGGGACATAATTATATCGCCTCAGATAATAAATACCTAGAAGATTACAAACATCATCTTAGATACATAATACCTTCTCCTACTATAGTGTTTTTTTAGATTATAACAAGAAATAAAAAACCTAAGCGTACAGGAATGAAATTGACACATCATAAAAACATGTTTGTTGCCTGCCTTCTTTATGCCCTTTTTGCCCATCTTCTCCTCCTTTTCTTCCTGGTGGTAATTCATTCATCTTTTCAATAGCTTTTAGCCATTTTGATGGTCACAATAAGTTGGAGTAAATTATTTTTTTATTTTCTATTCCAAATATGCTTTTTTCTTTACACAACAACAAGTTAATTATATTCCGTTATTTTTTTCGTTTTGACTGAATAGAACATATTTAAGCAGGAAAATATAGAAAAAAAGGTATTGTTTTAATTTCCGGAAATATTTCCTTATAAAATAAATGTTTCGTTTCTTTCTTATTTACAAGCATGAAATTTATGATGAATAATGATGGTTGGCATGAGTTGTTTGTAGCAGTTACTTAACTAATGAGGTAATCTAATGAAGGGGTTAATAAGTAGAGGCAAGTAGAGGAAATTGTTCAATTAAGTAGAATGTGAGTATAACACGGATATCTTTAGGAGTTTCCCTTTAAAATATTGTGAATGTTGAAAGTAATTTCCTTAACAATGGTTTACTTTAATAAACAACTTACTAACTAACTAACTAACTAACTAACTAACTAACTAACTAACTAACTAACTAACTAACTAACTAACTAACTAACTAACTAACTAACTAACTAACTAACTAACTAACTAACTAACTAACTAACTACTAACTAACTAACTAACTAACTAACTAACTAACTAACTAACTAACTAACTAACTAACTAACTAACTAACTAACTAACTAACTAACTAACTAACTAACTAACTAACTAACTAACTAACTAACTAACTAACTAACTAACTAACTAACTAACTAACTAACTAACTAACTAACTAACTAACTAACTAACTAACTAACTAACTAACTAACTAACTAACTAACTAACTACTAACTAACTAACTAACTAACTAACTAACTAACTACTAACTAACTAACTAACTAACTAACTAACTAACTAACTAACTAACTAACTAACTAACTAACTAACTAACTAACTAACTAACTAACTAACTAACTAACTAACTAACTAACTAACTAACTAACTAACTAACTAACTACTAACTAACTAACTAACTAACTAACTAACTACTAACTAACTAACTAACTAACTAACTAACTAACTAACTAACTAACTAACTACTAACTAACTAACTAACTAACTAACTAACTAACTAACTAACTACTAACTAACTAACTACTAACTAACTAACTACTAACTAACTACTAACTAACTAACTAACTAACTAACTAACTAACTAACTAACTACTACTACTAACTAACTAACTAACTACTAACTAACTAACTAACTAACTAACTAACTAACTAACTAACTAACTAAACTACTAACTAACTAACTAACTAACTAACTAACTAACTAACTAACTACTAACTAACTACTAACTAACTAACTAACTAACTAACTAACTAACTAACTAACTAACTAACTAACTAACTAACTAACTAACTACTAACTAACTAACTAACTAACTAACTAACTAACTAACTAACTAACTAACTACTAACTAACTAACTAACTAACTAACTAACTAACTAACTAACTAACTAACTAACTAACTAACTAACTACTAACTAACTAACTAACTAACTAACTAACTAACTAACTAACTAACTAACTAACTAACTAACTAACTAACTAACTAACTAACTAACTAACTAACTACTAACTAACTAACTAACTAACTAACTAACTAACTAACTAACTAACTAACTAACTAACTAACTAACTACTAACTAACTAACTAACTAACTAACTAACTACTAACTAACTAACTAACTAACTAACTAACTAACTAACTAACTAACTAACTAACTAACTAACTAACTAACTAACTAACTAACTAACTAACTAACTAACTAACTAACTAACTAACTAACTAACTAACTAACTAACTAACTAACTAACTAACTAACTAACTAACTAACTAACTAACTAACTACTAACTAACTAACTAACTAACTAACTAACTAACTAACTAACTAACTAACTAACTAACTAACTAACTAACTAACTAACTAACTAACTAACTAACTAACTAACTAACTAACTAACTAACTAACTAACTAACTAACTAACTAACTACTAACTAACTAACTAACTAACTAACTAACTAACTAACTAACTAACTAACTAACTAACTAACTAACTAACTAACTAACTAACTAACTAACTAACTAACTAACTAACTAACTAACTAACTAACTAACTAACTAACTAACTAACTAACTAACTACTAACTAACTAACTAACTAACTAACTAACTAACTAACTAACTAACTAACTAACTAACTAACTAACTAACTAACTAACTAACTAACTACTAACTAACTAACTAACTAACTAACTACTAACTAACTAACTAACTAACTAACTAACTAACTAACTAACTAACTAACTAACTAACTAACTAACTAACTAACTAACTAACTAACTAACTAACTAACTAACTAACTAACTACTAACTAACTAACTAACTAACTAACTAACTAACTAACTAACTAACTAACTAACTAACTAACTAACTAACTAACTAACTACTAACTAACTAACTAACTAACTAACTAACTAACTAACTAACTAACTAACTAACTAACTAACTAACTAACTAACTAACTAACTAACTAACTAACTAACTAACTAACTAACTAACTAACTAACTAACTAACTAACTACTAACTAACTAACTAACTAACTAACTAACTAACTAACTAACTAACTACTAACTAACTAACTAACTAACTAACTAACTAACTAACTAACTAACTAACTAACTAACTAACTACTAACTAACTAACTAAACTAACTAACTAACTAACTAACTAACTAACTAACTACTAACTAACTACTAACTAACTAACTAACTAACTAACTAACTACTAACTAACTAACTAACTAACTAACTAACTAACTAACTAACTAACTAACTAACTAACTAACTAACTAACTAACTAACTAACTAACTAACTAACTAACTAACTAACTAACTAACTAACTAACTACTAACTAACTAACTAACTAACTAACTAACTAACTAACTAACTAACTAACTAACTAACTAACTAACTAACTAACTAACTAACTAACTAACTAACTAACTAACTAACTAACTAACTAACTAACTAACTAACTAACTAACTAACTAACTAACTAACTAACTAACTAACTAACTAACTAACTAACTAACTAACTAACTAACTAACTACTAACTAACTAACTAACTAACTAACTAACTAACTAACTACTAACTAACTAACTAACTAACTAACTAACTAACTAACTAACTAACTAACTAACTACTAACTAACTAACTAACTAACTAACTAACTAACTAACTAACTAACTAACTAACTAACTAACTAACTACTAACTAACTAACTAACTAACTAACTAACTAACTAACTAACTAACTACTTAACTAACTAACTAACTAACTAACTAACTTTTTAATTTATGTTCAGTAAAAAAAATAATCTATATAAAATCCCTAAATTTCCCGGGAAGTGAGAATAAAATATTTAAAAAAAATATAATCATTTGAAATTTTTTTTTTCGTTCATGATCTTAATTTTGAAAGTATTTCAGTTTGTTTATATAAATAATAAACTATTTAAAAAAAAATCTAAAAAAGAATTTATTAACAAAAAAAAACAAAATTAAATGAAATGAATATTATTGAATTATATTTTCTGCTCTAATTTAATTAATAAAAATACTAAATGTAGAATGTTTTTAAATATATATTTTATTACAAAGGATAAGCTATTTTATTTTGTAATAAATTTTAAATATTATTAATTCATAAAATATATATGAAATTCATAGATACATTTTTATGAACATTCAAATTAAATTGACTGTAGTAGTAGTAAGTTAGTCATATGTTTAAATTTAAACTGACATATTTTAAATTTGCATAAAATTTATTAAACACAACAAATATTAGATGACACAAGGGTATCGAATGGGTGTGGTTTAGTAATAAATACTTATAACTACCCGATGGGAAATGTGTGGAAATATGACAAAATGGTAGCAATTTTCCATTATTCGAAATTACAAAAGGACAATTGATCTGTAAACTATTGTAAAAAAGGTGTTCTCTAGATTACTTAGAAACACTAAAGTAATGAATGGTCGCTACACCTTACTCCTAAGATGGCAAAAAACTTCCCAAAGATCTTGTCATATGATGCAAAAATATGCAAATTCGAGTTAAACAAGTACATATGTACTTAGTTAGAAATTAAAGGGATGCTGGTTTTATTGTAAATGGTAGACGTAAAAAAATCAACCATATT